ACATATATATATATATATGGACGAACCTTATGGTTGTGGAACATCAGTGCCAGCACTGACGTTGCTGTCTTTGATGGTGATGATGACGGTCATTGCAATGCGGACGTGCTCCACTAAGAGCGAGAAGTGCGTCAAGTGATCCCTTCTTTTGCAGGTGAACCATCACTCAAGAATCAGAGGATATGGAATTTTTTTAAGAATCATTGTACTAGCTGATTTAGGAGTGATCCATCCATCCATGTTACAAGCTGGCCTTACAGGCCTACGCTGTACTGTTTTCTTCTCTGAGGTTGACCGATAAGGTCACACGAGTCACACTCGTCATTGCCTTCATTCACAACATCGCGAACTAGTGGTTCCACCCCCTGGTCACAACGATTCACCATGGACAGGTTGTGGTGTGTTTCTTCATCCCATCTCCGAAGTTCCTTCCCTCCAAGCAGTATTGCGATGATCAAACAGTGGTGCGATGCATTCATGGTTAATTTGTCCATTAACCCGTGCCAGGTCCACCGAAGAACTTTGTAGTGAAACAGCCACTGGTGTGGCGTGCTAGTGTACTTGTGAAATGATATCCCTCCAGTAAATATGGGCTGATAGCACATCGTGTTTTTTTTTTTGGAGGAGGCGGGAAGTGTTCCGTCTTCGCTTCCGGGTGTTTGCTTCGTCGGGTAGTGTTCTGCGGCCATCACTCACATTGGCTCCGCCATGATGGGCTTAGGGGGTGTTCCGAGGAAGAGTCTTGTGGTATATTTGCCGGATTACACAAAAAAAGAATCAAGTCAATTAGACTTTATGGACAATAATTACTGCACTTTTGATGTGAGTAAGGGCGATCTGAGGTGCAGCGAGGAGAGTGCATCCTGAACGCTCTATCATTTTTGGCGTTTTGCCAGTGTCTGCTAAATGACATTGAGATTTCTTGAAGACGAACCATCAACTATGCAATTCCCGCCTACGACGTGCATTTTCTTTGGTTGCGATTACCCGCATGCTCATGCTGCCTTATTTTCCATGGCGGTGTACTCCAACCTGTAGCTCGACATGTCTGTAATGCCATCACTCCCTTGGTGTTGATGTGTGCGCATTGAAAAGAGAACTGTCGAGGTCGTGAATCGTTGTTTGTCTTGTGAGCCTAGCTTTTTGTGTTGGTAAGATGGTGTCAGGTTCCTGTAATTCACAATCTGCATTGCGCGACTGGTTGTTTCTTACCTAATCGGACCCAAAGGACTGTTTGATTTAGTCACCGAGATCACTTTTGGAGGTGAACGACAGCTCCGTTCTTTTTAAAAAGAACACCGTTGTTTTTCGATTATCACCTGGTCTAGATCGGCATAGGGAGGACTTTCAGTTGCTGTTGATAGAGGAGGGGCATCTTGGGTTTCTCAACATTCCTGGGCCTGTCATCACATGACACACCTTTGTGATTTTTACCGGCATCTCTTATGGGTTCTGTGGATTTAGCCGCGGTGGAAATGAGCAGATACTCGTCTGGCATCGTAGATAACTTCACCAGTTGCCTTATTTCCTCTTTTTCCTTTAAAATCCAGGTATTCGGGCTGATGTGCGCCATCCTCCTGTGTTGCGTGGCTCGCCGCCGAGATGAGATTCAATACACTGAGGTCCATGTTGAAGCTTAGACACTTACTCCACTTCGCTTTACTTTACGGTGACTGTCTTCTATGACAGGATGGGTCGGCTTCACAAATGTCCCGTACTATCGTAGCCAACAAACGGCGGTTAAATGCTCAGACAGTCCTCTCTCAGCGTTCGCACGGAGTCTCCATCGATTCGTCATTCCTCAGCTACTGGACCCTCCTTTGGAACTTTACGGTGCTGTCTTCTATGACAGGATGGGTCGGCTTCACAAATGTCCCGTACTATCGTAGCCAACAAACGGCGGTTAAATGCTCAGACAGTCCTCTCTCAGCGTTCGCACGGAGTCTCCATCGATTCGTCATTCCTCAGCTACTGGACCCTCCTTTGGAATCGCCTCACCTGACACTGTATTTTTGCTGCGAGAAAGTACAACAAAGCAACAAAAACACGTGCTCATTTTCGGTATTTCTCGGGGTTTGTCAACTTTGAATTATCTCGCTAGAAGCGCCAGCATTTTTATCGCATAATATTCATTGGCCTACGTTCGTCGAGCAACCCGTCAATTTGTTGTGTATGATTCCCACGTAACTTTCCGTTCTCATTCCGCAAGCTGTTCGCCACCGGCTCCACGTATCACTAACATTGTGGTCATTTTCCCCAGTCTATTTCATTTTTTTGCTGAGTGATACTCCAGAAAACAAAATCATGTGCGCATATCTAGTCGCCGTAGTTCATTTTTGTGCCCCACTTCTTCAAGTGCAATATGTCCGCCCCGCCCCACATCGCACTCAGAAACTAACCGCACACACACACACACACACCATGTGCAGACTGCGATTCTGTAAAAGCTTTTAGGTATACGTATTTCCCCTTTTCTCCTTTCAAACTCGACTTTCCCGCTTTTCGCGCGTTCTCTTCCCGTCATTCGTGATTCGTTCGGTGGCGTTATCCATATGATCTCCATACATTTTCTATCTTTCTATTTGCATTACACAGCAGAGACGTGGACTGTTCTCTTTCAACTCTTGTCTACATTTACGCACATACACACACAGACACTTGAGTACCGTGATCTTCATTCACTTAATAGCAGCCCAGTTTTTGCCCAAAATATCTATTTGTGAAGCTCAGCGTCCCCCGTCGTAGCATACTACTTAATAAGTAGATTGTGTATTCTTTTCACACATACCCATTTTACGTTCTTTTTCCTTCCTCATTTTCTGATTGAATGCGCAGTCGTTGAATCAATCGTATTCGCTCTTTTCGATACGACCCGTTCCCTGGTGTCACAATGGATTGGGTGAAAATACCATTTTGCTTATAGTTAATCTGATGGTGCATATTCTGCGCAGGAATCATGTAGGCTCTTACTAGGAATTCGTTGGTGTTTTCTGGAAATGTTCAATTGCGTCAGCTAGCATGGCCCTCTCTCTCCAGGCTGTCGGGCACTGATTTCACCTGTTCGGCGTCCAACGGGACGGTCAAAAGTGCTGTGGCCAAGAAGCCACGTTGCGTGTGTGTGTTTGTGTGTAATGGATAAGCAATTCATTTGATGTTTGTACTGTGGATTGTACCAAGTGGAGTGTCAAAGTAAATTTGTTTACATTAAGTTCGCTCGGGTTTCATGCATTCCAGCGGTCGTGTTTTTTTGGCTCTAGGTTGCTCATTGTAGCAGCTGATTGCATGCGCATCCCTGACAGCATTCGGTTTTTGGTGAAGGGTATTTTTAGTTCTGTTTGTTTGGTTTGAAACCTGTTTGATTTGGTGTGTAGCCATAGTGGCTGCTCGATGTGCAATGGAACTTTCAGGACTGAATAAACTATAATGTGTCGGTCCGGTTATGGTGGGTGCGATGCTTCGTTTCAGAGCAACTGATGCGTCCCATCTCTTTTCAGGAGGAGATTTGATGATATGGAACAATACATATTTTTTTCTACTCGTACGAACATCCGTTTTCCGTTAACCATGGTTCAGTCAGCAACTGATTTCGGGGCAGTGGTCGCTGTCCCCAAGTTCGGACCGTGAACCAACCGTATTGTCAAGACACATCAGTGTTAACAGACAGAAACTCACTGTTGTTAGCCTGTAGAGGTCATGTAATTCGTACCTAACTAGTCCACTCACGACAATCAAAAATGTCAAGTCCGCGTGGTTTATTTTCACGCTTCGAGAGCCGTGCTTTAGGTCCGCGGTGTCCGAGCCTAGTTGGTGTCATTTCGGGAGGCTTCAGCAACCAAAACCGATATCTTCGGGGATTTGTTCAGATCGCTAATTGTTAGCACTGACTAGACTATTTGTTTATCTTTTCGTTTGCTATGTAAACACGCTGCCAAAATCGTTTTTGTTATTGATTGTTCACTTCACTAGGAGACAAACAAATACAGCTTTTCGTGCGAAAGCAGCAGATGATGACGAGTTGCTGGTATGCGGTCAAAACCAAAGTGCAAATAGCTGCAGCCTGTCAGTTTTTTTTAGTGATAAACGTTTGTTGAATCCTAATAGGAGGTTATCATAAGATTTATATGAATATATATCAATGATTACATCCGTTGAGTCGACCCAAATGGCATTTGAGCACTAGTGTGTACTACGGGTGCTATCAATCATGATGACATTGATCGCATATGTCAGCGGTTCAAAACGTAGATACAATTTGGTTGGAAAGCTCACTCAAGCACTGCTCATCAGACCAAACAGTGGTACTGATTAAATCTCGGAGAAATATCCCTGTTTGACCCGAACATAACTTGACGCGACGAATTATCAGACATCAAGTGAAATTGAGCGTGCCAGCCGACTTTGAAGTCTGGTGGTGGGAGAGGCTCAGAAAGCCGGCAATGCCCGAAGACTTTTAGGTGATCCGCGCGATCGGCCCCCGGAACCCTGCCTGTCAGCGAAACCAACGATCAGAAGTGAGTAGTCATCTTGAATAAAGAATGTTTCGACCGGTGGGCCGAATACTTCGAACAACAGCTTTGGTGGCTGCAGCCTGCAGTTTTTTTAGTGATAAACGTTTGTTGAATCCTAATAGGAGGTTATCATAAGATTTATATGAATATATATCAATGATTACATCCGTTGAGTCGACCCAAATGGCATTTGAGCACTAGTGTGTACTACGGGTGCTATCAATCATGATGACATTGATCGCATATGTCAGCGGTTCAAAACGTAGATACAATTTGGTTGGAAAGCTCACTCAAGCACTGCTCATCAGACCAAACAGTGGTACTGATTAAATCTCGGAGAAATATCCCTGTTTGACCCGAACATAACTTGACGCGACGAATTATCAGACATCAAGTGAAATTGAGCGTGCCAGCCGACTTTGAAGTCTGGTGGTGGGAGAGGCTCAGAAAGCCGGCAATGCCCGAAGACTTTTAGGTGATCCGCGCGATCGGCCCCCGGAACCCTGCCTGTCAGCGAAACCAACGATCAGAAGTGAGTAGTCATCTTGAATAAAGAATGTTTCGACCGGTGGGCCGAATACTTCGAACAACAGCTTTGGTGGCCACCAGCTGCGACTCATTTGGAGCCCACAATCGACGTAGAACCGTGGACGGTGAACGTGGAACCCCCTACGGCCTCTCAGGTTTATGACAACATATGTTCTCTCAAGCGCCACTGAACTTCTGGTTTGAATGACCTCTCACCGCATTGTCTGATCACTTTGCCTGCATTTGAAAAAAACTGCCCCAGACAACTGGAGGAAGTAGGTGACAGCGCCCATTTTCAAAAAAGGGGCTTGTAGTGATTGTGGCAACCACAAGGGAATCAGCTTAACCCCGATTGTAACGAGACTGCTGGCATCACTTGTGCTTCGTCGCTTCATGGTGGCTCTTGAGAAACTGAATCGAGAGCAGCAAGCGGGATTCCGGCCTGGTAGCGGTTGCGTCGCCCAAATCTCCACACCCTCTCAGGTGCTAGAACAACGTTACACATATAAGCGCATTTGACTTTGCTGATCGATCTGTTCTTTTTGACACGCTTACCCACCAAAGAATGCCCCGGAAGTTTGTGAACATTATACTTTCTCAGACTTCTGGGCGTGTGTGAGTATATAGAGAGCTCCCCAAAAGCTTCTGTACACAAAGCGGTGTCCGTCAGAGTGTCCACTCTCTCAACTCGCATGCAACTTTGTGATCGATGAGATAATGAGACGAACGCTGGAAGTTCTTCAAAATCATGTGACGAAAACCTTACCGATCTTGAATATTCAGGCGATATCGTTCTTGACGAAGGTGCAGGTGTTTTTTGCAGAAGCACAATGACTGAGATATTGTCAAATTGTCCAATCCTGGATAGAAGTCGAGATACGTAGGTTGGGTTCAAACCATGGACCTTTCGGTCAGTAGTTTGGCGCCTAAACCGCTGAGCTATATGTCTGTGTGTATTCAATGTATTTTTAAACTCATTGTTTTCGTCCTGTCCTTTTTTC